TCCAAGCAATGCTGGGAAGGTATGCAAGCTTAAGAAGTCCAATTATGGACTAAAGCAGGCAAGCAGAAGTTGGAATCTGCGATTCGATGAAGCCATTAGTAAGTTTGGTTTTATCAAGAATCTAGATGAGTCTTGTGCTCACGAGAAGGTCGGTGGGAGTGACATCGCATTCCTCGTCTTATATGTCGATGACATATTACTCATTGGAAACAACACTAAATTGTTAGAGCCCGTAAAGGGTTGGCTTGGAAAGTGCTTTTCAATGAAGGACTTGGGAGAGGCACAGTACATATTGGGCATCAAGATCTATAGGGATAGATCTAAAAGGATGATTGGATTGAGCCAAAGTACTTATATTGATAAGGTACTGGCACGATTCAACATGGAAGGGGCCAAGAGAGGGCACCTACCTATGTAACATGGCATAACTCTTAGCAAAAAGCAGTGTCCACAGACACCTGATGAGCGAGAGAGGATGAATCAGATTCCATATGCTTTGCTTATTGGATCAATCATGTATGTCATGATATGTACGAGGCCGGATGTATCGTATGCCTTTAGTGCTACAAGCCGATACCAATCAGACCCAGGAGAGGCACATTGGACAGCGGCCAAGAATATCCTAAAGTACCTAAAAAGGAACAAGGATAAGTTCCTAGTCTATGGTGGTAGTAATGATTTGGTTGTTGAAGATTATACTGACGCGAGCTTCCAGACTGACAGAGACGACTCCAAGTTGCAGTCAGGGTACATATTCTACCTAAATAGAGGAGCGTTTATTTGGAAGAGTGCTAAGCAAAGCACCACTGCAGATTCTACAACTGAAGCCGAATAATTGGCAGCTTCGGAATCAGCTAATTAAGGAGGTAGTTTGGATTCGTAAGTTCATTAGTGAACTTGGTGTTGTACCCTCCATCAAGGGTCCAATAGACATCTATTGTGATAACAATGGAGCTATTGCTGAGGCCAGGGAGCCCAAGGGAACACCAGAAGGTCAAACATGTCAAGCGGCGATTTCACATGATAAGGGAATGGAAGTCCAAGGGTGAAATCAGAATTTGTAAGATTGAACGGACGACGATGTAGCCGATCCATTGACTAAACCTTTTCCTCAAGTGAAGAACAACAAGCACGTTGAGGCAATAAGAATCAAGCATGTTAAAGATGATTGGCTTTGATTTCCCTATTTATGTGTTTTAATTCAAATTGATGTCTTAATGTAAAACACTATGTTGAACCATTCGGTTTTGGAGCAATTAAATTTTCTGCAAATTTATTATGACTCCATTTCTATTTATTTGTGGTTTAGAATTAAAGAATGAGTCTATTCGATTTATGGAAATTTTTAAAACAGGGTATCAACACCATGTCTTTAATAAAGAAACACCTGTTAAGTGAACATTGAATATGTAAATCGAAAATTATCCCTAATCAAGGTCATTTAAATGATGGACGATTAATGACCACTTGAGATTAGTGTGTAGTATGATTTATAGCACCGTTTCTTGTGCTACGAGGACATGATAGTCATAAATCATTTGCACAGGTACTAGTTTGGAACTTTACTGGATCGACCTATGAGAATACATTAAAAGACATAAAATCGTCATAAGTATATTTCTCATTATAGCTATCAGAACCTTTTTCCTCGACCATGAGTATTGTAAGTTTTCTTGTTTGAGTACTAGTCGTTTTGATGTTGTCAAACGTCTGCCGTAAATAGGGATTATAACGGAAACACTCGGGCGGCTAGGTCCTCTTAGTAAGGGAAGCTTAAAGTACAAGACTGGGAATGTCCCCCTATTAACAATAGGGAATATGTCTTTGTTGTTTACCAGGCCTCTCAAAGAGCGAGACTATGAAAATGCATGGTCGTGCTCAGATGGATTTTAGAAATCATCTGCTTATTGACAATCGGACTCAGAAATCGAAACACTTCTGGACATAATAAGGATGACGAAGAATCTTACCATATAGCTCATGAAGAGAAATTAAACGACATAGGAAAAGGGTTGTACACTAATTGCACTTTTTTCCGGAAGGACAAGTGGGAGATTGAAAGGAATGGTGTCCTTCCAACAAGTGTATTATTCCGATAGAGGGTTCGGAATTATTAGAAAGCCGATTCTTCAGTGAGGTCAAGTGATCGGAATTCCTAAGTGGAGGCCGCTTCCGATCAATAAATTAATGCATAATTAATATTACGGCTTAATCTAGACTGAACCCTTCGAGTCGCACCCCTATCAAATAACCGATCCAAAACGACGAATCAATCCGAAGGATTAGATGAGTCATTAGAATATTACGAAATAAGACGTCAAATATCGAGCTTAGAGCATCAAGACCGAGCGTCGCAAGTCGAGTCGAATTTAGAATTCGACGAGACGTAGAATCAAGCAAACGACAAGTACGAGCCAAGCCGTAGCCTCGCATTGGCCAAGCCATGCGAGTGCTAGGCTAGGCGAGGGCACCAACCGCATGAATGCTAACATGGTGGGCATCACACCGAGCCACACGCATAACCGCAGCTAGGATGCGCTTAGCATGCAAGCATCGCAAGCATGGTGCATGCCTTGTGTATGCATGCTATGCGTGCTTGCTAGCATGCTAGGGCCTAGCTCCCAGCTCTTCGCAGCCTCACACCAAGCAGCGTACTCACACAGCACACGCATTGCAGCAGTGTGCTGTGTGTGCGTGTGCGTAGTTGTGCGTGCTAGCGTTGCAGCACCAAGCAGCAGCACGCACCAAGCAGCAGCATCGCATGCGTGCGTGTTAGCAGGCTACGCATGTGTTGCGTGCTGGCTCGCTGGGCTGCCCAGCCTTGGTTATAGGCGCCAGCTGACAGCCTTGGCAGCCAAGACAAGCTACGAGCTAGCCATGTGGCATGGTCAGCTGGTCATGGGAAGGGACTAAGGGGTTGGTGTTTGGCTTGGGGATCAAGGCGATTTGGTACCCCCTTTGGTGGTCCTCACCAACTCTCTCCCTCCATGTGACACTTGGAGCTTGTTGATTGCCTTGCATTTTTATTTTGTTTTTGAAAATCTCTCACATTGATGGGAGAAGGGAGATCAAGTCTCCATTTCCTATAAATACCAAAGTTTTCAGTTTGGGAAAAATCACTTGAGTTGAACTCAATATGGCATCTCATCATTAGTGAGAAAACCTTTAAGTTCGTAATACTCTAGTTTTTATTTGGTCAAATCCCAACTAACCTTCGAGATTAAGACCGTTCAGGTCAGGTCGAGGGTGCGAGCCGTAGGAGACCATCGTACTTGCGTGGCTCGAGCTTTGAAGTAAGAGCTCGTGAACCGAGCAAAGCACACGTTGAGGGTAAGAATGTCTTTTCTCTTTCTCTCTCTTATGTTGTTAATTATGTGATTGCACATTTAGTTGCTTTAATTAGTGGGCGGGTTTCTCTTCTGCGTAGTGTTGGATGCTACAAAACCCAACAGTTGCTGAACTTTTTCTTCTTCCCTTAGAAACACCGCGCTTATAGTGGTTGGACTGACCACCACATATAATTACAAGGTTTCTCTTTCGACTGGTCTTGCCAGTGTTGGGAGGTGAGCAAGGTGCTTACAAAGTTGTTGAAAGGCCTCTTTTTGCTCGTCTTCCCGGATGAGCTCTTTTGATTTCTGGAGTTTAAGCGTTATGAAGAAAGGCAACCCCTTGTCCGAGGCTCTAGAGATAAACCTGGAAAGGGAAGCCATTCTGCCAGTGAGACGCTGAACGTCCCTTTTTGTTTTCAGCTCAAGAAGATCCAGAGCTGCTTGAACTTTGGCGGGATTGGCATTAATCCCCCTCTTGTTGACCATGAAACCGAGGAACTTGCCTGACTTCACTCCAAAGACACACTTCTTCGGATTCAGCTTCATTTTATGTTTTCTAAGAGTGGCGAAGGTTTATGTCAGGTCCGTGACATGGTCTGCATCTTTTTTGCTTTTGATGATAGAATCGTCAACATAGGCTTCCATGTTACGGCCCTTTTGCTCGGCGAAGACCTGATCAACCAGCCTTTGATAAGTTGCCCCCACATTTTTCAATCCGAAGGGAATCATTTTATAGTTGTATACCTCGGCACTTGTAACGAAGGTCATTTTTGCCCGGTCGTCGGGGTGCATGAAGATCTGATGGTACCCCGAGAATGCGTCCATAAAACTAAGCAGAGCATGCCCGCTCGTCAAATCGACTAATTGATCGATCCTCGTCAAGGGATAAAAGTCCTTCAGACATGCCCTATTTGGATCTGTGAAGTCAACACACATTCTCCAGGTGTCATTAGCCTTCTGAACCATCACCACATTAGCCAACCATTCTGGACACTGACAAGGCTCAATAAAGCCAACATCCATAAGTTTTTTGACCTCCGCTGCGATGTCCTGGTTCTTTTGAACGGAGTAATTCTGCTTCTTTTGCTTAACTGGCCGACATGTTGGGTCGACATTAAGCTTATGAGAGATGAGGTTCGGATCAATCCCAGGAATTTCTGTTGCCGAGAACGCGAACACATCTTTGTTGTCCCGAAGGAGTTGAATTAGTTTAACACGAACATTTAGATCAAGTCCTAGTCCAATGCTGACACATCTTTCCCTTTGGTCAACTCTATTGACTCAGTCTGATTGTCCAGCTCCATGGCTTGGGCGCTGGACTCTTCTTACTCAGGCGTGCTGTCAATATCAGCAGGCTTCCCAAACTTCGGCTGATGTTCCGAGTATTTCGGCTCAGATGAAGAATCAGCCTTTCCTTTCCCCAAAGATTTTTCTTTTGCTGGGGCTCCTTGGGCCAAAGCACTTTAGCCTTTGTGAATGAGGGGTCTCCCCACGATCATGTTGTACACATATAGGACATCCACGACCAGAAATTCGGCCATTATATTCCATGTTGCTCGGCCTTTACCGATGGTGACAAGAAGAAGATTCTTCCTGTCGGAATATGATGAAGCCGTTAAATCCGGATACCGGATAGGATACTGGAGTCAGATGTTTAGCCTCTAATCTCAGCTAGTCGAATGCTCCTCGAAAGAGGATATTCGCCCCACTACCACCGTCGACGAGAGATTGACAGACGTTATGATTTGCAATGCCCGTCACAATTGCTAACGGGTCTTCATGGGAATATACCAACCCCTTGCAGTCTTCGGCTGTGAACAGAATGTTCGGCACCGGAGACTGAGGCGCTCGGATGTCTGCGTGATTCACTTGATGGGTCAAGCCCCTCAAGTGACGTTTCACTGCATTCTGAGAAGTTCCCCCGGAAATGACAAGGATATCAAGAGTTTCTTTGCCTTGTGATTTGTCCTTTTTCCGAGATATATCAAGTTCTTGCCGAGGATCCTTTTCAGCTTTTTTCTCTGCCGCGAGATACTTTTTCAAGTAGCCCTTCTGAACTAGATCCTTGATCTGATCTTTCTGCTGAAGGCAGTCCTCGGTGCGATATCCAATGGATTCATGGAACTCGCACCATCGATCCTTACCCTTTTGTTGATGCCACGGTGGGAGTGGCCTTGGTTTCTTGAACCTCCCCTTGTCTTTGGTTGTGCTATAGATTTTAGCCAAGGAAAAGCGAGAGGAGTGTACGAATCGTACCTTCTTGTATAGGGGGTCCTATCTTTTTTCGGCTCAGGTGCCGAGGACGATTTTGAGGCTTTCGCCTTCCCTCTCCTCGGCCCTTGGCCTTCGGACACCTGTCCTTTTGCTTTCCCGGCCCTAGATTGGGACTGGGATTTTTTCTTGTTCCACTCTTCGGCTCCGATATATTTATCTGAGGCGTCCAAAGCTTCCTCCAAAGTCTGCGGGGGATGCATGACCATGAAGTCAAGGAACTTGCCAGCTTGTAAGTCATTCCGCAGCGCAAACACGGCTAGGCCCTGATCCAGACTTGTGATTCTGGACGACTCATTGCTGAAGCGAGTCAGATAGTCTCGGAGGCTTTCATCCTCCGCTTGTTGCAAACTCATCAATTCTGTAGTTGTTTTCTCTCGGCAATTTGCCGTACAAAACTTGCTCTTGAATTTGTTGGAAAGATCCTTCCAACCGGTTATAGAGCCCTCCTTCACCCCCTTGGTGATCCACGCTTGTGCAACACCTTTCACTACAAGAAAACAGCTTGATTCCGACGGAAAAAATCCGTCGGAATCATCGGAAATTCCGTCAGAAACAAGCCTTCCGACGGAATTCTGTCGCGGTGGCCCTTGTTGGAAATTCGACCTTTTCCGATGGAATTTCCGTCAGAAGGCTTGTTTTCGACGGAATTTCCGACGGATTTATTTCTGTCGGCGCTTTTTTTTACTTTAATTGAAAATTCGTCGCAACGTTCCGACGGAAATTTCCGTTAGAGTTGGAGAGGTTTTCGACGGAATTTTCCGTCGGAAACGGTATATTCTGACGGAATTTTCCGTCGGAAAAGGTATATTCCGACGGAATTTTCCGTCGAAAAAGTTAAAAAAAAAATTAAAAAACAAAAAAAAACCCCCCACCCACACCAACACCCACCTGCCTAGAACTACCCCCACGCACAACCACCCACACCCACCAGCCCAAACCCCCCCCACCCACACCCACCCCCACCCTGCCCAAAACAACCCACACCCACCCCTACCCACACCCACCTGCCCAGAAAAACCCACACCCACCCAGACCACCCCCACCCCCACCACCCCAACCTGCCCAGAAAAACCCCCACCCACACCCACCCCACCTGCCCAGATAACCACCGAAATCGCAAAAAAAAAAATCGAAAAAACTCATAAAAATCCAGAACACCGAAATCGCAAATAAAATCTAAAAAACGCAAATGAATTCAGAGATCCGAAAAAAAAATAAACAAAAACAATTGAAATCGAACAAAATAAATAAAATATACAATTAATCTGAAATTAATAAAAAATAACATTACAATTATATCAAAAAACAATTATAATCAGAATTGTTTAAAAAAAAAAAAAAACTAGATCTACAATGTTGTTGTTGTCGTTGCTGCATGCTGGTGTCGTTGTTGTCGTTGCTGCGTGCTGGTGTCGTTGTTGGTTTTTTCGTTGCGCGGTGGTTACTTATGTTGTCGTTGTTGTGTCGCCGTTGAAGTGGTCAGAAAAGGGGAAAGAAGAGGAGAGAAGGAGGATATCTACAAGAAGATATAGAAGGAGAATGAGAAAAAAGAAGGGAAAGAACGAAGAAAGGTGAAAGAGAAGAAGAGAGGAGAGAGAAAGAGAAGAAGAGAGGCGGAGAGAGAGGAGGACAGGAAAGAGAATTGAATAGGGTTGGGGGAGGGGAACTAATTTTTAGGGTTTAGTTTTTTTTTTTTTTTTTTTTTTTTTATTCTGGAAATATAAGGGTTTGTTTTTTTTTCTTTTTTTTTAAATAATATTCCGACGGAATATTCCGTCGGAAACTTAATATTCTGACGGAAAGTTCCGACAGATTTTAATTCTGTCGGTAATTCATCGTATCGACGGAAAAATCCGTCGGACACTTCTGACGGAATTTATTTCCGTCGGAATATAAATTTTCCGATGAAATATTCCGTCGGAAAGCCCATAAATTCCGAGGGATTTTTATTCCGTAGGAAATCCGTTAGAACTTTCCGACGGAATAAAAATCCGCGGAATATACAGGATTTCCGATCGGAATCTGGCCTTTTTCTTGTAGTGTTTGAGGGTCGTTGGAAAATACTTAAACCAAGTAGCCTCGGACCTGGGGTTAAGGTACATGTGTCCCTCGTAAGAGGCAATGTGGTCCTTCGGGTCCGAAGTACCGTCGTAAGTGATGTGCGTCGGGATTTTCACCGTCGGCACATGCTCTTCCAATATCCAACTTCGGAATGGCGAGCTGGTAGGGACCATTACGGCCTTCCCCTTTCGTCTAGCCGTTGGGACCTCGCTTCTCCCTCTTAGAGAGGTGGAAGTGGTTTTCGTCCTTGGTTGAGACGGTTCAGGGTAGGGCTCGGTTCCTTCCGGGTAAGTGAGGCGACTATACACGCTCACCTCCCTTGAACGTAAACGTTCGTGAATGTTTAGGAAAGCAGGCTCTTGCCACTCAGAGGTGGTATTGCTGCTTCTATAGCTTCTAGAGTCCCGGGTTCTGGAACCATCAAAGTACTGAGGGTTCCTTTATCGTTCCCGCTCGGTCCTCCAAGTGTCCTCCTCGTACTTCTCCTCGAGCTCCCTAATAGAGGGAGTTCGACCACCCTCCTCTTGGCCAGTCCTCCTTCTCAGGTTTCTAGACGGAAAAGGTGAGTGGTCACAGGGAGGAGGAAGGTTGCCTGCTTGGGCCTTCAAGAAGTCCATGGCGCAGACTGCTACGGCTCTCTCCACTTCCTCCGTAGAGGGCCTCGTTTGAGGTGTTGTTCTAGGCTGAGACTGAGAATGTGAGCTTTGCGGAGGAGGACTCTTCGCATTTGATTGATTTGGCCGAGACGAACTTGTCGGCTCGCGAGTATGATGGGACGGTGACTTCTCCGAGGCTTCCCTTTCCTAAGAAGAGGGAGCTTTTGAAGAAGGAGAAGAAGGTTCCGGTGATGATGGAATCGGTTGATTCACTCTCACCGTGTGGTCTCTCCTCAAAGAGGAATGACCATTCTTCTTAGCACTCTTGGTGCTTTTACCGCTCTTAGTCATGTTTCCACTTAGAGTGGTTGATATTCGGCTTAATTTTTTGTATCTTACCCACAGACGGCGCCAAACTGTTTCGGATGAAAACAATAGGATCTTCAGCAAGCCCTTTTCAAGGGAGAAGACTAGTCTCGGTCCAAGTGGTGATAAGGCCGAGGATTTCCTGCACAGCAAACACACGTAAACTAGCTTCAGGGGTGGTTGCCGAGGAAGGCCCCTCCGATACTAAAGTCAGTTCAGTGTGAGAAGAATAAGCTATGCAAGAGAGTTAGTTGCTTGAGGCTTCATGTGAATGAATGATAAATGAGACAATTGATGGCTTTTATACCTTTGCTCAATAGAGGAGGGTTGGGCCTTTGAAGTCAGATGGGCTTGCCATGCTGACTGGGCTTGATTGACTTTAGCATGCTTAAGAGAGTTGAACCTTGCTTTTGGACTTTGGTAATTAAATCATTTGGGCCGGCCCAATTAGGTTAACTGAATTGGACCCAAACAACAAGTATTTCAGAAATTCATAGGCATAAATACTGTCATGTATTACAGCCCGACAATCGTGCAATTAGCTGGTTATGCATCAAATCAGACAGCTCTTCTTCTTTCTCTAGTCACTGCTGGCCTTAATGACGCAGGTTCAATTGCTAGTATATATTTCACAGATAGGACTGGACGAAAGAAGCTACTGATTTTCAGTATTTCTGGTGTAATTGTATCTCTTGCAATCTTAGCTGCTGTTTTTCATGAAACGAGACGACTCATTCACCGCCTGTTAGCTTGATTGAGACAAACAGTTTTCATGGACTTACCTGAGATAATTATGCTGTTACTAGTGCAAATGCTCGTAGGGATGTACTTTATGCTTGAAGAAACAAACATGTGGATTTTGTTCGTCGCCCTCCAATAAGGTACAAATTCTTGCACCTATACATGTTTTTTAGTTTATAAATGACATATATAAGCTTTATGCTTTAAAGTGTTGTTCTTTGCCAAATTTTACGTTACGTTTTAAAGAAAATCAATGGAACCTAAATCATTTAATTTAGCCTTAGCTTTATGGCTAGATCAATGTCTCACCAAGCTTGTGGTTAATCTGATTTACTCATTTCAAATTATGGTTGTTCGTGGAAGATAACACTCCCTCCGTCCCTTAATTTTTGCCCCAATTTCTTTTTTAGGCTGTTCTCTTAATTTTACCCCATTCTATTTCTAGACATTTGGGACCACACACTCTCACAAGAGTCACAACCATCCCATTGACTTAACTATTCTCTTTCATTATTTTTTTCCAACCAAAAATTAGCACTCCGTAAAGTAATATTTCTCTATGACACAAAAAATAAGGGACACATGGAGTACAACATACAGTTATTTTAGTTCCTATCTTTGCATTTATTAAATTAGGCCCCTTTCACTTCACCTTATTTTTGTTGAACTGAAATTAATTCTACTCAATTGAAATTATTTTTGCTGAACTTAAATTATTTTTACTGAATTGAAATTATTTTTAGTGAACTGAAAGTAATTTTGCTGAACTGAAATTATTTTTACTGTTTCTCTATTATATTTCTTCGTTATAGTTATTGATTTTTCTGAAATGAAATTATTTTTACTTAACTGAAATTAATATTACTGAACTGAAATTATTTTTATTAAATAGAACTTATTTTTACTGAACTGAAATTATTTTTACTGAATATTATGTTTTTAAGTTGAATTGAATAGGGCCCTTGTGTAATAATGGGGTAGTGGGGAGTTACCTACTCCGTATGTCAAGTTATTAGCAGTACAGTAGTTGCTTAATTGTAGGATTATTAGCCTCATTAAGTTAATTTACTATCACTATGTAAGGCTAGTACATTGAATTGTATGGATTGAACACATACATGAAAGTTCCGTTCTTTTAATCCAAATTAAACCATGTCACTATATATATTATTGTTGCAGCTATTTCCCGGAGCATGTTTAAAATCGAACAACAAAGTAGGAAACATATGTAAAGCCGAAGGTCGAAAATGGTACTCAAGAGGGTGCCCTAGCAAAAATGGATGGATGGCTCTAATAGGGTTAGCTCTGTAATCATCTTCTTTTCACCTGGTATGGGTACCGTGCCATGGGTAGTAAACTCGGAGATATACCCTCTAAGATACAGAGGAGTGTGTGGTGTTATTGCAGCCACTTCAACTGGATCTCAAATCTTATAGTTGCTCAAACCTTCTTGTCACTTACAGATGCAATTGGCACTTCTTGGACATTTTTCATTTTCGGAGTCGTCGCTGTTATAGCCTTATTCTTTGTCATTGTGTTTGTTCCTGAAACCAAAGGGATGCCTATTGAAGAAGTGGAGAAGATGCTTG